GGTAGTGTATATGGACCGTCTGGGAACCGTAAACCTTAACCCTATAGCCAATACCACTGAACCTGAAACCCTTGACTGGCGGGATATATACTCCTGCTGGAGTGCAGAACACAGGAGAGAAAGTTACCTCGCTGAAAACGATGACTGAACCTCCGAGCACCCTGCATCAAACCTGCAGAACCCTGAGCCTGTTAAATCTGCCAGAAACATGAACATGGGCGTTGTGGGTGATGCTATGGAATGACAAGACAGACCTCAAGCGATTTGCACTATCAACTTTGCAGTTTCTTCTCTTCCACCTGAAACCCTCCGCTATCCACCAAAAGAAAACTCAACAGCCTCCGGCGTGTCACCTTGCAGGTCCTGGCCTCAAACCTCAACCCGAAGCCTTGAAAGGACCAGATGCGTCGTGACATCAACCTGACCCAGCTGGGATAGCACTTGCACCTTGTCGGCCTCCTTCCTGGTGACTAAGATAAAAGCCTTCATGTCATTAGGGCTGGGGTAGATTATCGTGCAATGGATCTGACGGGATGTACTGCAATCGCTATGTACTAGCTAGCCCACAGCTTTTTGCTGCTTTTGTGCTTGGCATCGCTCGAAAACACTCGCCGAACTAGAGTCAAAATAGAATGCAACTAGAGCGAACTCAATGGACAAGATCGATGCGATGGTGGAACCCCTGTAAGGCCCAAGTATGTACTATAAACGCACATGGAGCGTGCGGGAAAACATACCCTAGACCTCCCAACTAATATAGGGGCCTGAATAANNAAGTAGTCAGGCCCCTAAACCCTAAACCCTATTCTATTTATTACTAATTAAGGCCCCTACACCCTAAAGCGTATTACAAGTATTAAGGCCCCTACATGACAGCCCGAGTAAGCTCAGGCTTCGACTTCTTGACTCGCTCGCTACCTGCCAAGTCCACTAAGTGCAGCTTCGAGAAGATCACCTGCAGTGGGTGTGGGGTTCCGGTTTAGGGTTTAGGGTTTAGGGTTTAGGGTTTAGGGGTTTAGGGTTTGTGGTTTAGGGTTTCGGGTTCCGGGTTCATTAGTTCAGTACTGTTTCGGGCTTATCAGATTTAGGGCATATACGGTTTGGGGTCGAGGGCTCGAAGTTTCTAGGATTCAGACCCTGGTTGTGGGGACCTAAATCCATGAGAGTAGTATATATGGACCCTCTTGGGGGCACTTCCGGGGGCTGCTTAACCCTGAACCCTAAACCCTCTGCTGCTTGAAACCTATGCTTTCGGGAGTTTGGTAAGGGCTTCAAGAATAGGGGCCGGCTCCGGCAGGGTTTAGGGTTTAGGGGTTTAGGTTCTAGGGTTTAGGGTTTAGGTTTAGGGTTTAGGGTTTAGGGTTTAGGGTTTAGGTTTTAGGGTTTAGGGTTTAGGGTTTAGGGTTTAGGGCCCTAAACCTGCACCTGACCACCAGGCCCGAGCCCTTTTACACCTTCAGAAAGCACAAGCACTTAAGTGTATGTTTCACTTACTCCTAAACAGTAAACCCTAAACCCTAAACAATAAACCCTAAACCCCAAACTCTTGACCAGTATGTTAGGGGAACTAAAGTTGACCTTTGGGGGCATTTTAGGGCTTAAAATGCACCAACAAGGTGACAGGTGACCTACTCTACTACTACTACGACTACTACGACTACTACTACTACTACTACTACTACTACTACTACTACTACTACTACTACGTTGAAGGCGTCAGGATACAGGATCTAGGGGCTATGGACCCGAAACCCTAAACCCTTCCATGGTTTGGGGTCTTGGGATGAAGTAGACGATTTTTGGGGGTTTAGGGTTTAGGTTTTAAGCATCCGGAAGAGCTTTATGGAATTCAATGGAATCACGCCGAATGTAGTCGCTAAGCCCCGACCCCTCGAAACCCTTGGAGTGTAGCTAAACCACCCATGGGCCCCATAGTAGTTCCTTTTGAGGGTTACCTTGTAGGATTCTACATATGAACCCCAAAAAGGAACTACTTTAGGGAGGGGGGGTTACCTTCTACATAATACTGTTGATGGACAAAATTCTGCATGACCCAAGTATAGTAGAGTACCATAAATCCCATAGTTTAGGTATATGAGGTCATGCAGGATTTTGTCCATCAACCGTATGAACCCCAAAAAGGAACTACTTTAGGGCCTATAAATAGCCAGGCCTGGTGGGTCCTTGTTTGTTGTGGGGGGTCTTTGGGGGGCCTCGCTTGAATCCCTAAACCACGGTTTAGGGTTTAGGGTTTAGGGTTTAATCCCTAAGCCCTGAACTCCAAAACCCCTACCATGGCCTTCTCGCTGGACTCCACGCGCGACCTGCTCTCCACGTAGATCGTAAAGACGACGTGGGAGCGCGTCGACCTCTTGCCCAAAGGGGTCTATAATGTTATTAGGGGGGGATACTTGCTCAAAAAACTGGACGGGAACTCCTACTATAGACCCCCTACTGTCTACATCTGTCTACTATGTCAGTGCTTAAATAGGACCCTTTGGGTTGATACATGACGCAGGGTTCGGGGATCCTAGCTGACCTTCAAGCTTCAGACAGTGATTGAGTGAAGCTTCCAGGACTCCAGGGCTTGAAGGCCCGACATGTGCCTTGAGGATTTAGCTTCCTAGTTTTGGGGATCGAAGAAAGGTTTGTGTAAGGTTTAGGGTTTCGGGTTTGGGGTTTAGGGCTTTCGGTTTAGGGTGTGTGTGGGGGGGGGGGGGTAAACGTGCAGCAGGGATGGGACTGGCAAGAAATTAAGATAAGCAAAGCCAATGGATGCCCGTAGGCCGTCTTAAAGGGGTATCCCATAAAAGTACCTGAACCCTTAAAGGAACCCCTGTTCTAGCACTCTTACGGGAACCGTATTTTAATACATCGAGTTCACCATGTGAAGGCATGAATCGGGCGGCAAACCCTAACCCGACAGAATCCGGAAGACCTGTAGCAAAATCACCTGCAATTATTAAAGGGCCGAAGACAAGCTGCCGGAGTCAGAGCTGCTGGTTTAGGGTTTAGGGATTGAGGTGTAGGGTTTAGGGTTTAGTGTAGCTGGCAAACGGCAATGCGTGTAAGTTTCGCAATACAAGCAGGGCGATGTGACCCTGCCAGCTAGGTGCAAAACACGAAATTCCTGCTTGTAGTTAGTTCGTCGGACTCCCTTTGCTGGAATCTTGCTGTTCCTCGAGGCGGATTTTTAGCTTTGAAGGGCTTATCCCATGTTGAACCAGGTTTATAGTGTGTTGCTCGATAGGCTTCATGTAGAAGCCTTCACAAATTGGAATAGGGTTCTGGGGAATATTATACGATAGCTATAACAAGGACACCAAAAATAGGATTGGTAATTATTTAGGCTTCTATACTACTGGACCCTGGACCCTCCAGAACGATCCTCAAGACACTGCGACACCCTACACCCTGCCGTAGAGAACTTCCTGGACTCCTAGTAGGGCTTTGTGGAACGCGTGCATACTCCAGAACACTGAGGGAGCAGGGTGTCGGGTTCACCAGTCTAGGACATTTTCAGGAGGGTAGTTACCGTTATAGTAAGGAGCCTTATAGAAGCCCTATATACCCTAAACTCCCATCCTGTAGTTTCCGTTAAACCAGGGAGGGCTTCAGCCCCCAAAGCCGAAACCCTAAATAACCCTTTACCCTAAAGCTCTAAGCCCCAAACGCCTGAACCACAACCACTACTTCTCCAAAACCCTGGGCCGCAAACCCGGAGCCTTTAAACGCAGCCCTAAACCTTGAGCCCTTACAAACATTAATCCCTAAACCGCTTCTAGACTCCTTGTAGGAAACTTGACACTCAAAAAACATCAGAACACCCACATTGTCAAACCCCCTAACCCAGAAAAAACATATACACTACCATTATGGAATTAGGTCCCAAACCGGTAACAAACCTAATCGTTTCCCCTGATTATTAAACCCCCCCAAATATTAAAACTCGGATCTGGGGGTTTGGTTTTAATATTAGGGGGTTTTCCGGGTGGTCAGGGTCAGGGTCACACGGTCACAACACGACCCTCAACCCTCAACCCTAAACCCTAAGCCTTAAACCCTCAACCCTAAACCCTCAAACCCGAAGCCCTAAGGCCTAAACCCTAAACCCTCAAACCCTAAGCCCTAAGGCCTAGACCCTAAACCCTCAACCCTAAACCCTAAACCCTAAAGCCTTAAACCCTAAACCCTAGAGCCCAAAGCCTTAAGCGCTAAGCTTTAAACCCTAAAGCCTTAAACCCTCAAATCTTAAGCCCT